CATTTCATATAACGTTATCACAATTTTTTGTCAATACTTGACTTTTTAAGTTAAGAGTAGACTCCTTTCAAATAAGAGTAGACTCTTTTTCAACAAGAGTCGACTCTCATTAAAGAGAGTCGATTATACATAGTACTTTGAACGTTTTTAATTCTTTGGAATTTGGGAGTCGAATGTCCACCATATATAGTCGATTCTTAAATGCTCGAGAGTCGAATCTTTGTTCCTAGATTCGACTCTTTACTTAAAGGCATATATATAATGGCCTTGATCAACTACTAGGGAAAAAAAATGTACTATGCAACTTTCAGCAACATAAACCTTGTTGCTGATATAAATTTTCAGCAACAAGAGATATCTTGCTGAAAGTGGGGCTCAATTACATAGGAAAATGGTTACTGGAAAATATCAACAACATGGCGTATGTTGCTGAAATTTACTTTCAGCAACATACTCTTTGTTGCCGAAAGTTGAGCAACTTTTTAGGGAAAAAATGTATTATGCGACTTTTAGCAACATAAGCCTTATTGCTGATATAAATTTTCAACAACAAAGGATCCCATGTTGCTGATGTATTGTTGCTGAAAACTTGAATTTTAGTAGTGAGAATCATCACTGATCCAACAGAATGTTTTTGATTGGACTAAGTCAACCAACCTATTTTCATCTTAATATTGTTTATCAAAAGCAATACTATTTCTGCTAAACCAAATGGACCAAGCAGCCGTTGAAATTGTAAATTTCCAACAACTTCTTGCTTTCTTGGGGACCTGTAGCAAGTTGACTTGATGGAGCATGGCAAAGGCATTGTCGGGAGAGACAAAAGAGAAACGCCGTCAATAGCAAATTCTACTCGAGAGATATTAAGACTGTCTACACTTCACAATATATGGGTTTTCTAACTTAGTTTGACAAAATATGTGGCATCCGTGTTGGCAATATTAACTTGGTTTGAATAAGAAGGACGGACTAGACATCCTCTTTACCCAAGCTATGAATTGATTAAATGTCAATTTTAATCTCTAAATTTAGTATTTTAAACACTTTTAGTACCTAAACTATTTTTAATAATTTTTTTGTCCCTCAATGCATTTTTTTGTCTTTGTGTATAAGTTCAATGATAATGTGACCATTAAATCAATTCCAAACTGCACTTTTTTTGATGAAGTAGCAAGGACATGTCATTAAATTAGTTTACGTGGACTCCTGACATCCAAAAATTACTTTTGGTTGCAAAAAGTCTAACGAGGAGGAAGAAGAAGATTTTGGGAGTATTTCTTTCATTTTGTAAGTTTTAATATTTTAATTTATAAATAAATTCAATTAGAGGATAGTAATTTGCTTAGTTATCACACTTTAACTAATTTACAAGTAATTTTAAGTAATACTATATATATATACATACACACAAGGAGGGATATATTTACACAAAAAGTCTTATACACTACACTTATATAAAATTTCAACCATCCATCTTTTCAATTTCAACCATCCATCTTTTCACTTTCAATTGTTGAGTTTTCTCATGATTTTTAGGTGAAATAAATCATTATTTTTAATAAATATGAATAAATCTCAATTATAAAAAGTGAAGAGATAAATTGTTGAGATTTTGTATAAATGTGGTATGTAAGATTATGTGTAAGTGAATCCCTACTTCATAGATATTTATAAAATAGGGTCCTTTATCTGTTAACCTAAAAATAGTGACTTTACAAATAAAGCCCGAGAAGAGATTATTATACAATTGGTTGGACATTGAATTCTATTGCTAATAGGGTTTGTCTAAAGTGTCCTTTAAGAGTAAAGGTTTAAGATTCATTAATTATATGTTTTTATGTTTAATCTCTATAGAAAATCATAAATGTTGATTTTATTTTTATAAGCAATGTCATATTTTTCATTAGATAGTTGGTAAGATTAAAGTTACTTTTTAATTTTTTAATACAAAATAATTGTAAAAAGTTACAATAAATAATATACCTTTAACTTATGGTTTAGAAATTTCCTTGTTAATATTGTTTGAATTTTTGTAATCCAATGCAAATGTTAAGAGTAAAATAAATACATAAAGTTGTGTTGGAAAAACAAAAATTAACTTTTAATTTATCAACCGTCTAATTGAATTCATTCATGTGACAACAATACTAAAATAATTATCAATTTTTACATTTTTCTATATAAATTTATAACAAAAATGTAACATTGACCTATACCTTAAAAGCACATAATAGAAAAACTCATATTGTTTTTTATCTAAGATATATTTTTTTAGTACATGGGTGTCTTTTTTAACATAATATAAATTTATTGATTAAATGAGCGATATTGCATCCACAACAAGAAAAGAGGAATTTTTGAACTCATAGATTAAGTACCGGCAACCTTATAAACAAACATATAAAACACAAATATAGATATAGAAGAATAGGTGGGTTAGGAATTTAAACAATTTAATTTGACTCTCACGGTAAAATGGAAGTGGAGAATAATTATAAGAGAGAAAGAGATGTTAACACTTATATCACCCCAAAAATCCACATTCCTTTCATCCCCAACTTTTCATTTAAAACCCTTTGCTAACATCACAATCAACCTTTTAGACCCCTTACCAACACTCATAATATCTTTCCACACTCGAGACATATTCAAAGACTCAAATGAAATAATATCAACTTTCTTCTTACCCTCATAATATTTCCCTCAAATCACTCTCTTCCATAAACCCTCTATACCATCTCCTAACCTAAATCACCATTTACCCAATAAAACCCAATTCCTCTTCTCTAAATCAGCCACTCCCAATTCCCCTCTCCTTTGCTCTCATCATCTACTTCCATTTAATTAATCTTGCAATCATCTCTCATTCTCAACCCATTCTGATCTATTATGCAACTTAAACCCAAATTTCTTGTTTTTCATAAGGGTAGAGTATCATTGAATTATTTAAATCATTAATGACAAACTTCTTATTATTATTTATTAAACAATATATACAAACCCACATAAAATTACACAATTAAGTATTATTTAAACTTAATTATAAGTACAAACCTTAATATATATGACATGAAAAATTAAATTTACATCTTATCCTTATTCCTGATCAGTTATATACAGACACTTATACTATCAATTACGTACGTACAGATCGAATTAATAAATACCATAACCTGATATGAATCATGCACACTGCAGCCCCGGCCCGGTGGTTATCCGCTATTGCACTAAATCATGGAGAAAATTCAGCGAGGAATTGGGCGCAGTCTCCACCTCCTTCGGGTATGTAAGTGCAGGGAGAAGCACCGGAAGGTGGGACAGGAGTTCTACCAACCGTGAAAGCCAGTGGTTGATCGTTATGATAATCCGCTCTAGGATTATGGTTACCTTCTAAAGGCCTAGACGCTGCACTGCTAGGTTTGGTGCTAGAAACCAAGAAGATTATGATGATGAGGGAAATCATAATCCCAGTTTTTTTGTGAGTTTCCATGTTATAGGAAGAAGGGGTTTGAGCTTCTGGTGATTTTCACCGTAACTTGACCCTTAGAGAAGAACAGTTAGAATAACTTGTAAATAGACGTCCATGCATTTTATACATACATAAATACATACATATATATATATATATATGATAAAGCTGTACCCACTTGAAAACAAAATTAATAATTTATATACCTAGGAGTTTTCTAAGAAATTACTGTATAACATCCTTGAAAATTGAATCTAGGAGTTTTCCCAAGAAGCTACTCTATGACATCCTTCAAAATTGAGTCTTTCTTTCTTTTTTTTTTTTTTTGGGGTTAAACTTGAATGCTAAGCTTAGTTTTTTAAACTTTATGTATGTTGAACACTTTTTGGTTTTTAAATTGTTTTCATTACTTTTTGGATCATGATACATCCACCTTAGATCATGATACATCCACCTAATGAACCGACACCCATCTTAACACTCATGTTGTTTTAAATAGTAAAATAATAAATTTACTCTCCTCATTTTATACATAGGTGTTGAAATGGGTGTTGATTCATTGGGTAGATGTCTCATTTCCCTTACTTTTTATGCCTTTTAATTTTAGGTTTAAGTACCATTTTGGTCCCTCAACTTTCTACTTTGGCACCAAAATTGTCCCTCACCTTTAAAAAGTACTAAAATTATCCTCAAACTTTTATTTTCAGTACCAAAATAGTCCTTCCGTCAGTTAAATAATAGATGGCACGTTAACTTGCCAGCAAATCACTGGATTTTTTTCTTAACTAATGACATGGCACCTTTTTTTATGAGTTGGCATTTTATTTCATCCATGTCATCTCTTCTTCCTCTTTCACTTTCTCTCTCTTATCGCTTCTTCTTCCTCTCCAAATCAAACCCAGATCTGGGTTTTTCTTAAACTCAGATAACTCCTTCGATACCACTAAAATGCAACAAAAGAGAAACTAAATCACAGTCTAACAATAAAACTTCCATGTCATCTCTTCTTCCTCTTTCACTTTCTCTCTCTCTTGTCCCTTCCTCTTCCTCTCCAAATCAAACCCAGATCTGGGTTTTTCTCAAACCCAGATGACTCCTCTGACACCATTGAAACGCAACAAAGAGAAACTAAATCACAGTCTAAAAAAAAACCTCAAATACATATTCGAATTTCATCAAACCAAGTCAACTCACATGGATGCAAATAAATCAAAAAGAAATAGTACCGAACCACCGGAGACTCGATATGCAGCAAACCAAAACCTAAATGCCGGCGAAATCAACACAGAAACTAGCGAGCACTGGTTTAAAGAGAACCAAAAATTCTAGTTCCAGTTCCATCCAGACAAAGAAAAATAGCACAATCAGGACCAAAAATCAACCACGAGTTTGAAAAAACAGAACAAAAACCATGAGTTCGAAAAAATAGAACATAAACCATAAGAGTTCAAAAAACCAGAACAAAAATGAAGCTCGCATCAGTGGCTAGCTCGTTAGAGGCAAAAGCCCAAGAGATTGTAAACCACAGAGCCAACTAGATCCCAGAAACCAGATAGATCCCAGAAACCAGCTACATCCCGACGCATGTTACTGCAAAAGCCGGAGCTGACAGAGCCAGATCTCGACGCGGCCGAGCCTATAGTGAGCCTGCGACGGCGCAAACCAGCCGTTGTTGTTGCAGAGCCGTGCGGGGGCCATGACGCCAGGCTTCAAGCTCTTCTTCACAACAGTATCCGTCGATTCAAAGAAGAAATGGCGAGTGAGGAAAGAAGCGGAGGTGGATGGAGAAATGCAGTCTCAAGCCCCGATCTGGGTTTGTCTCAAACCCAGATCGGGGACAAACCCAGATCGGGGCTTGAGACAAACCCAGATCTGGGTTTGTTTTGATGAAGAACCAGCAACAGCAGCAGCTAAAACTAATGAGTGGAAGAAAGCATGGAGGCTCACGAAAAAACCAAAGCAATCTCCACTTAATCCATCTCAGGGCAAATCTGTGTTTGTTTGTTTTGGAGAGGAAGAAAAACCGATAAGAGAGAGAAAAGAATAAGAAAGAAAATGAAGTTTTTACTTTTTTTGTTTTTAGTTTTGAAAAATTATAAAATAATAATAAAAAATATTAAATTTTCTTACATGGAATTTACACGTAATTAAAATTAAAAAAATCCAGTGATTTGCTGGCAAGTTAACGTGCCATCTGTCATTTAACTAACGGAAGGACCATTTTGGTACCAAAAATGAAAGTCAAAGGATAATTTTGGTACTTTTTAAAGGTGAGGGACAATTTTGGTGTCAAAGTAGAAAGTTGAGGGACCAAAATGGTACTTAAACCTTAATTTTATAAATTTTATTTTTTATTTTTTTCAATTAAGTGATTTTTGTTTCAAAAAGAAAAAAATTTTATTAAATGAGTATAAAGCGTATCCATTTAAAAATTTAGCGATGATGTGACTGTCAACTCATTTAATTTTTTTCTCGTTTTTTAAACTTCTTGATGACATGTGACAATATCCATTATAGATGAGTTTTTTAACTTAGCTTGACACAATATGTGGTGTTTTTGTTAACAATTTTAGCTTAAACAAATAAAATAAAAAATAAAAAAGTTAATAGTTATCCACCGATTCAATTTAATTATAAATTAAAATATTAAAACTGACAAAATGATAAAAATACCCTTAAAATCTTCTTCCTCCTCCTTAGTCTTTTTTCACAGCAAAAGCATTTTTTTGAATATTATGAGTCCATGTAAGTTAATTTAAAGACGTGTCATTGCTACTTCATCAAAAATTGTCATTTTTGATTAATTTAATAGTTACATCATTATTTAACTTATGAAAGGATGAAGAAAGTGTAATTTATAAAGTTGAGAGACAAAAAAAATAATAAAAGTAATTTTAAAACTAAAAATATTAAAAATATAAAATTTATAAACTAATTATATATATATATATTTATAAAAACTAAAATTAACACTTAACCAATCTTAATTTGGGTAAACAAGATATCTGGTCCGTTCACCTGATTTAC